TTGCCCTGCAAAAGCTCCCAGACCCCCACCTAGAAGTGCAGGGGGGCAGCTTTTTGCTCGAGCATCTCCAAATTCTGACCTTTAACCTCTGAGAGTCCAGACTGGCCTCTTCCGCTCCAAAAAACAAGCTTCCTGGGAGTCCACAGCGATTTCTACTAACTGCAGGTCTCATCCCCCAATTCCCCCTCCATCATCACCCCCATTTCCTGGAAGCAAGACCACAAAGCCCGCAAGAAGCACAGCCTGCCGAGCGCTGCAGGGGGTCTGTCCCCTGCGGTTGTTGAAGCAGGGCTGCTCCGGTACAGATGTATTGTGTCATACGCCATGCCTGCGAGGTTGGCCTAGGAGTCGTAGCGTGGAGGGAAGTACCTTCTTTATGGACTGAAAGGTATGGAAGCGGAGAAAGATATGGACTAGGATGCTGCTGGGCTTCAGTTGTTTTTTTTTTTTTTTAAATCAACAGGTTCTGCCGCTGGAAAAAGCTGAAACTCCTGCTAGGTATGGAAGCGGAGAAAGATATGGACTAGGGTGCTGCTGGGCTTCAGTTGTTTTTTTTTTTTTTTAAATCAACAGGTTCTGCCGCTGGAAAAAGCTGAAACTCCTGCTCTAAATCATCTGTGCCTTTCCCCAGGTTTGCAAGACTTCCCTCAGCAGCTCCTGCGTGCTCTGAAGTGCATTTTGCAGAATTTGCAGAATTTGTATTTTGCAGAAGCTGAGTCCCAACGTTGCTTGGAAGCCTCCTGGGCGCAGGGAGGGGAAAAGACAGCCTTGGAATTGACAGCCTGTAAAATCCCCCTATTTCAGTGTTGGGGGAGAGGCCATAAATTCTTGGTTTCTGCCCAGTCTCTGCCCCCTTTCATTATGCCAGTAGGTGTGGCTTGGGGATTTTTCCTCCTGATTCCTTCTCGGCCGGTTTCATTGATTTGCTCTGTCCAAATTCCATTCATAGCTAATTGCGGGAGGGGGGGGGTCCTCTGGGTGTGTCAAATTACCTACTGTATTTCAAATACTTGAGATCTGCACAGAGTATGGAGGTCAGAATATTTTGCTGCGTAAGATGGGCTCATGTATTGTCCTGAGTCATCCTGCTGTTTTGATTTTAATTTAGTGTATTAGGTGAGTTTAGCCAATGGGGGTTTATTTAATAAACTGGTTAAAGACACCTTAGTGTGGTCAGTATGTGAATCCAGTTGGTGTTCAAACCGCAGTCTAATAGTTTGGAAAAGACTAAAGTCAATTTTGGGTGTAGTTCACAAAAGACAAAAAGATGTCACTTTTTCAGGGTCTATTCAGATTGGTTATTTACCCATTTCAAATGCCTGTAAGTTTTGCTGTCCTTGGGGCAGATGAGATAACAATACTCTTAATTTCATGAATTCGCCTGATTGCTTGAGAAGGAAAATGATGTCTCTCTGTTACGAACAAGGAGGGGGGTAATTGTGAATGTCCCTGGCAGACCTTTTCTTCCAAGAATTCCCCAGTAGAAGACACCGATGCTAAATGCCATCTGAATCTCCAGCTGTGATGTTCTTGGCCCGTCTAACAAGGTCTCCTTCCTTCACACCAGCTCTAAGAAGAAAGGAAGATGCTCTGGATCCAGCCATAACCCAGAAACATGGAACTTAACAAATCTTGTGCCAGTCCTGAAACCAAGATGGTATAAGTGCACTCTTGCATGTGGAGAAGGTTTTAATGAGCAATTCATAAAACAAGGAAGCCACTTTTCTAGGTAAAAAAAAAATGGAATGCATTGGAAAGAGAATCAGAAAAAAACCAAGGGAAAGAAACCATTCATACTCAGGTAATTAAAAAAACCCAGAATAGATAAGTTAGGTACTTATTAATTACAGTATTGGTTTTCAACGCTGTGCTGGTCCTCCTGCTTGGATAATGTTAGGCAGGCCCTCCTTGTTCCTTTCTTTCTACTCTTTTCTCTCTTCTGTCTTCCTGAGTACCATCCTCAGTTTTAGAAAACATGGAGGATAACTAAAAGCCAGCTTATTTTCAGTAGCTGAGTGATGCTTTTCTCAGTCAGGAAAAAATACTCCTCTAACCTCCTGGGTCTAGCTAGCAAATCCAGAGCCCACCTTCCTAACCCATCTTGTTGGAATGGCAAAAGCCCACTCCTCTGTTTCCAGCTGTGCTTTGCGTAAGTGGGATTACATGGGAGAAGATTTGGGGGAGAAAACCAAGTTATATTCCGTTTATTCACACTTCTCAGCATAGTGTCAAAAACCTGACTTCCTTCTCCCCAACATAAGATGGGTGCAATATAGCGCATGTAAAGATTTGTGAATCATACTGTGAATTTACTGATTTTAGTTTTTATGAGGTCCTACAAATGTTTTCAAATAGGATGCTACTTTTAACAATGTCATCCGTTGAGAGTGAGATTTTTGCAAATATTCCTCCAACAGGAAAGTCTTACTTCAGGGTAGGGTTGATTCAAATGATGGCTGATTTCTTATTAGCCCACTTCATTCCAAAAAGACACACTGGGTGAATGTGCCAGTGGCAAATCTGTCTTTCTGCCGTGGGTCTTTATCAGTCAGGGGTGCTATTCTTACGCCTCATAATGCTGGTTTCATTTTACCTTTAAAACTGGGATCTGCAACCATGACTGCCGTCAGTGCCAGGGCCGAACGCAAAGAGGATGGCTTCGTCCCTGCAGGAAGTCACATAAAGAGGAATGGAAAACGTAACCCAAAGTTGCTCCGGGAAAACACACTCTATTTACATTGAAAAGGTTACTCCCGTTCTCTTCTCATCAGCTCTCACACCAGGGCAGTGACGGCTCTCCGATTTTCAGTAGGTCGTCTCTGACTCTGAGCAAATTATTTCAACTGTATTCCACGCTGAAATGTAATAAATAATACAGTGCTGGTGGGAAAGCGAGCATTATTGCCCCTAATTGCAGACCTAGAGTTACATTTTAGAAAATGCCATCCTTCTGAGCTCATAACTCGTTCCACCAAGTTTTATTTTAATGATGGTTTATTTAGTCAAGCGTTGTGTCCGCCCATCACACAAAACAACAAATCAGGGTACAGACCATAAAGGGCTGAGTTCGCACAACACCCTAACCCAAGCTCAACGAGGAATGTGTGTAAATGACAGAATCTGACTATAGATTAGTTTTGAAACTTGAATCGACTTGATTAAAGGCATTAAATTGGATCAGTATGATTTGTCCTTCCCAGTTAGTTCGAAAAAGCATGAGATTTAAATTAATGATTCAGTTTGAATCGCTTTCAAGTTGAACTAGAGTCAATTTTTATAT